CGCTGCTCATCTTGCCTCCAGACTACTTGCATGTATTGGTAAACTTAAAAGTCGTTAGCAAATTAATGAAGTATATTGTTTTTTGGATTCTCATAACGTACCCTACTGGTTACAGACACCGCCTCATGAACTTATGATTAATGTTGCCAATCGTTTAGTCCATATTTTAGAAGTAACAGAACTCAGTTGTTGGCACTATATTCCCACAAGACAGAATCCAGCCGATTGTTTATCGAGAGGCCTCACACAACACCAGAAAATTTCACATGAGCCCAGCATTTATTAAGTTACCTCCTTCTGACTGGCCTATTTACCATATTGAACCTCCATCCGTTCTGCCTGAAGTAAAAACAATATCTCTGATAACGGCTGAAAAACCTAATGATTTGTTGATGTGCCTGGAAAAATACTAGAGCCTTTTGAAGCTGCAAAGGGTTTTTTCTTTTATTTTAAAATTTATTAAATGTTGCTGAGATCGGGAACATGGTAGTTTGGCTGTTGCAGCCTTGACTGATGACGAGCTTAAGGATTCATTGATGATTTATGTCAGGCTTGTTCAGAGGAAATTCTTCACTGAATTAATTGATTGCCTTAATAGTGCCAAACCGTACAAGGGTTCCTTAAACAGGCTCACACCATTTTTGGATAAGGAAGGAGCTCTCAAGGTGGGAGGTAGATTGAAGTATTCCACAATTGATGAGAAAAGTAAGCACCCGCTGCTGATACCTAAAGATTCACATTTAGCAGTCCTTTTGTGTAATCATCACCACATGTATTCCTTGCATGGTGGGCCCCTGTTGGTCCAGTCGCTCACTCATGGCCAATTTTAGATCCCTTCTCTGAGAAGACTCGTTAGAAGCCGGATTTATAAATGTATTACATGCCACAAAAATAATGCGAAGCAACAGACTCCGAAAATAAGTGACTTACCGTCTTTCAGGATGACCGAGGGTCGATCCTTTCAACAAGTTGGAATAGACTATGGCAGCCCCTACGTAATGAAGATTAACAGTAAGCGCAATGCTCCTAAGTCGAAATGTTGGTTAGCTCTCTTTGTGTGCATGTCTACCAAAACCATCCATCAAGAACTTGTGATGGACCTATCCACTTCTTCATTTATTGTCACATTAGACAGATTTATTGCCAGACATGGTTTGCCTTCACATATTTATGGTGACTGTGGAACAAATTTCATTGGAGCATCCAATAAGTTGAAGAAGCTTTATCAATTTGTTAAGAGCTCGAGCGAACCCATTTCTAACCATTTAAGTCGGACGGGTATAAAGTGGACCTTTACTCCTCCAGCATCTCTTCATTTCGGTGGTACTTGGGAGGAAGCTATTAAATCCGCTAAGAGGCACCTTCTTGCCGTTCTCCAGGATCATGAGTTAACATATGAGGAATTTTGTACTTATTATAATTATATAGCATTTATAATTCTTAGCTCTAAACTTAAAGGACATTCTATCTGCTAGTAATTGTCTTTTAAACTTTAAATATGTTTCACCAGCCTGGTTGTATAATATGTCTATCGGAGTAGAATTAAGAAGTCCTAAACATAATCTTAAACACCTATTGTGTATTGTATCTAATTTCGTTAAGACACTATCAGGTGCTTCACCGTAGATTGTAGTTACATATTAGTATCTGCTCCCCACTTATATTAGAACAAATCAGTTTTATTGTTCCCATTAATTTTTCAGCACTCTTTTGAAAATCCATTATGTGCTGGTTCCAATTTAATTTATGATCAAAACGTAGTCCTAGAAAATGGACTGAGGTCACACATGGGAATGAAATTCCTGCCAGTACTACTTGATCCTCAAGAGGAAATTTATGTTCTCTACTGAAGGAACATACTACAGATTTAGCAATCCAAATATTCATACCAGTATAAAGCTGCCATCTTTTGAGACCTCTCACTGCCTCTTTTAACAACGCAAGGCAACGGTTAATGTTTTTATGTGTTACATATAAGCAGGTGTCATCAGCGAATTGTAATAACTTTACTTCTCCGGGTATATAATTTCTTAAATGTGACGAGATTATAGAAAAAAGTAAACAGCTAATATACCCCCTGTGGTAGGCCAATCTGAGCATTTCTCATACCAATTACACAATTGTTAGGTTTTAAAAATATTTTCCTATTACTAATTAAGTTAACTATGAAATATATATATATATATATATATATATATATATATATATGTAGGTAGTTTTTGATTAATAAATAAAATTAATAAGGCAGATGGGGAAGAGTGTAGCAATAAACATATATATATATATATATATATATATATATATATATATATATGTTTATTGCTACACTCTTCCCCATCTGCCTTATTAATTTTATTTATTAATCAAAAACTACCTATTTATTATTAGCCTGCTTGTCTATTGGTTATGATATTCCCCGAAGAGAAGAGCTAATATTCAAAGTTATACTAATTAGGTAGACAAAGAAACTGCAGCAAAATATTTTATATTAAGTAATTATTGATTAAGTATTAATGAAAGCGAAGTCAAGCATGGATAGTTTATTGGTCTTACACTCCGACATAAATATAGGATTTACTGAAGACAAAAAACAGTTGGATTATTTTTCGGCATTGAGAAGGCATACGAATCAATTCATATACACATAATATCACGAAAAATGGAAGCCATTAAAGTCTCAGGGAAAATTATTAATTTCATAGTTAACTTAATTAGTAATAGGAAAATATTTTTAAAACCTAACAATTGTGTAATTGGTATGAGAAATGCTCAGATTGGCCTACCACAGGGGGTATATTAGCTGTTTACTTTTTTCTATAATCTCATCACATTTAAGAAATTATATACCCGGAGAAGTAAAGTTATTACAATTCGCTGATGACACCTGCTTATATGTAACACATAAAAAAATTAACCATTGCCTTGTGTTGTTATATATATATATATATATATATATATATATATATATATATATATATATATATATATATATATATATATATATATATATATATATATATATATATATATATAAATAATAATAATAAATAATAATAATAATAATAAGGCTTAGCGAACCCGAAGGTTCGATGCCGACACCACCAATCGCTTGTTACACACCTCCCTCCAACGTTCGCCGTCCAAACCCAGTCCCTTCAGATCGGCTTTAATGCAATCTTCCTACCTTCGCTTCGGTCTTCCCCTCGGACGCTTACCATTCGGCACAGCAAATATTAACCTTTTAGGAATTCTCTCGTTACTAAGCCCAACAACTTTACAAGCCCATTTGATTCGCCGCGATGAAATTACCTCAATTATATTACCCAGATACATCTCATGCAATTCGGCGTTGTGTAAACGTCTGAACTCTCCGGTTAACTCATCCTTCTTCGGTCCGAATATTCTACGCAATACTTTATTTTCAAAAACCTTAAGACGCTGCTCATCCCTTAATGTAAGCGGCCAAGTTTCGCATCCATAAAGAACTGTAGGCAAGATAATTGTTTTATAGATTCTAATTTTTAAGTTTCGGGACAAGAGGCGCGAACTAAGTAGTTTTGTCACAGAAAAATAACAAGCATTCCCCGCCTTCAGTCTAACCTTAATCTCTTCTTCAATTTCGTTTTTTCTAGTTATCGTGGAACCTAGATACCTTAATTTATCTACCTGTTCAAACATATTACCATCTATATCGATATCACCAGTAGTATCGCCATTTTTGCAGCTAACCATATATTTTGTTTTATCCACGTTTATTTCGAGTCCTAGTTCTTTACCGGCTTTCATTAACGTTGTCGTATTTAGTTTTATAGTTTCAACGTCTTCGCTTAACAGTACCAGATCATCAGCATAGCCCAGCACGAATGTTGTCCCGCCCAGATCCAACCCTTTCTCGGTTCGCATTACTTCCCTAATGGCATGTTCTAATGCCAAATTGAACAGGACAGGCGAAAGAGAATCCCCCTGTTTTAAGCTCGAACGAACCTCAAATTTTTCGGACAAATTATTACCGATTATAACTTTATTGAGTGTCTCCGTCAAGCACATCCTGACTAGATTTACTAGTTTTATATATATATATATTCAAAACTTATAACAAGAAAAAGGTAAAGCAGAAAATTTAAAAAGAAAAATGTACAAGCATCAACGAAAGTTCAAAAAAAAGAAAAGAAAATAACAAGGAAGTAGTTAAGAAATTGAAATCAACCCTAATTTTTAATCAAAAGAACGTTTCAAATACAACTCTAATTACCATTAGAATCTAACTGGAATGCAAATAATTCTTAAAAATCATCAATGACACTCGGATTTAATTTAAATAATCGGATAAGATAGAAACTGCAAAATAAAGCACTATTTAAATTAAAGTAAACAATATGATAAGGAACGGTAGCTCCATGGGTGAGCACTGACTTCCAGAGCTCAAGGACCCTAGTTCGAGTTCGGCTGATGACTAGTAATTTTTCATCAGCCATGGATCGACCCTGAGGTCGGGAGACCCTCCTGGGGCACAACCAGCCTCTATAAAGAGGGAACTCTTAATTAAGTAATTAATTAAGGGGAAAAATCTGGCGATTGAGTGTGATATCGACCCAATCACCTCACTGCATAACTGTTGGCCTTGTAACAGTACTTCCTCATATAGCACTGAACCCAAAACTCTTCATGGGTTGTAGTGGTGCAGGTATACATAACTAATTAATTTTGTTGTACAGGTATACAATATGATAAAAACATATTAACATGCAGTCATAAAATTTGTAATGTCAATCATATATATAAATGTATATCTTTTAAAGAAACATATTAATTTAGTTAACTAAAAATTATAAAGATCTAAAAAACAAAATTATTTTTAAAAAACTGGAATTAGAAGTATCTAAATTAGATACTAAATTAGTATTAAAATTATTATATATTAAGCTAATGTTTCTGATTAAAGAAATATTAGAAGAGTTTTATCATGTTACTATTAATATTGTATACTCTATATGAAGTACCTTGAACATTGAAAGTTGTGGGGACATTTGAGAACTTGTTCTGGATTGACAGAACTGCCGATGGTGTGTATCCTACAAACAAAAAATAATTAATTAACTCGCCAAAAAAACAAAACATTCTTTCAAAATAAAAGACAAACAAGTTATATTTATATTAAAAACCTAGTTACAAAAATCAATAAATACAAATTGTATTCAAAGCAATGGAAGCGCATGGTGTGTCCATTGCCATTTCAGATCATAATTTTTTCTATCTCATTCTACTCTTTTTTACTTTCACTTACCTATATATGAAATATATAGTAAGGGTAAGTATTGCGATCATGAAAATTTTCGAATCTGAGTTTTCAATGGAAATACATGTTTTGAGGTCACCTGAGTCCCACAAAATGGTCTGTGTGTGTGTGTGTGTGTGTGTATGAGAACAATCTATCTCAAAAACGAAAAGTTGTACAAAACTGATATTACGTATTTAGGATAGGTATATGCCTTGGAAGTTACAGCAACTTTTTCCTAAAATTCGGCTAACCAGAAGTGCCACTATATATAAACGATGAAACACATATTTACGACTTTCTCAATAACGGCTCAAATGATTTTGATTAAACTCGGTGAAGCATTGTATAATTAAGTGGTCTTTAATATCATTTAGGTATTATCACCATTGATGTCATAGGGCTTAAATGCCCAATGTTCATAAATTTCTTCCTATAAAGTACCTTTAATATGGTTTATTTAAAAAAATTAACTCTCTTTTATTGACAGTAACTATAAAAAATGGCTAAATATGAAGTTTGAAAGAATTTAATAATTGGAAACTGGAGAAAAAAAGAAAAATGCTTATCCAGGTAGAAAATGAATCTTCGGATATAACAGTCAGAAGGTATACGTATATAATATATCGTTGGAAAGCGGAGAATTTTAGAAAAATAATATTGAATAAATAAAGTTATAGAAGGTAACACAGAGTAACGAAAAAAATACAAACAATAATTTAAGAAAACTAACATTATTTAACGTAAATCACATGTTTCCAATGAAATTAAATGAAACTTTCTTACTAAATGTAAACTTAAAGTTTGTTCTAAATTTGAAAAAAAAAAGTATTTGAAATCCACCGAATCATGAGAATGCCATTGTTTAAAATACTATTTAATTGTAGTTGTGTGAAAGAAGAAGTGAAATATAAAAATAATTCATGGATATGTTTATAACCTTAAATACTATTGCTGTAGTTTAATAACTCTAGATATGATATATTTAAGTAATGAGGTATCTATTGGCCGTTTATTTCAAAAAACCATCAAGTAACCTTTTAGGAAATTAAATTAGTGAATAATTTGATGAATTTTCCCTTTGTGAAATCCCAACATTATCCACTTACAATTAGTATGACAACTTTTGATACATCCACGGGAGGCAATAGTTTTTGTAATTTTAATGATCTGTTATCTGTAAGCTTTAAGCTTTAGCTCTGTTTAAAATGCACTGCAAAAATTTTATAATACCCCAACATTGCCAGAAAATAATTTCTACTCAAAGTAAAGGGGTAAGTGAAGGTTGTATGTTGCCGGCACCAGATTTTTTTCTTTCATTCTAAAAGAGCCAAAATTTTTAAGCCAAAAAATTATTATTGGGCTGATTGCTTTGTATCTAGTTTTCAGTTTATTAAATTATGCATTATGCATTTGTGTACTTGGTAGAAAGAGGGTGAACATTAGTACATTTGAAAGGAGACCAGTTTTTATTAAACACAAAATTTACCCGATAATAATATAATGAATGAAATGTAAATTCATTCATTTGATATGAAAATTAAAAATTTGACAGCTTCTAAATATGTTTCACCTTATGATTATGTCAGCTTCTAAATATATTTCACCTTATGATTATAAAGCTATTTACAAATCAAAACAAATTACTCCAATGTTTTGTTTGTTTTAATCTTAAGAGGGAAAAATATTTTTACTTTCACTTACCTATACATGAAATACATAGTAAGAGAAAGTATTGGGATCATGAAAATTTTTGAACCTGAATTTTCAAAGGAAATACATGTTTTGAGATCCCTTGAGTCGAAATAACCAAGTCCCACAAAATAGTCTGTGTGCTAACAGTCTAACTCAAAAATGAAAAGTCGTATGAAATTTAAGGTTTTTATATGCTTGGGATGTTACAGCAACTTTTTCGTAAAAATCGGCTAACCGGAAGTAGAACATTATATCATGGACTAAACACATTTTATGATTTTCTCGAAAACGGCTTTAACGATTTTGATTAAATTCATTATATCAGTGTAAAATTAAGCAGTTTTAAATAAAATGTAGGTTTTATTCTGATTGATGTTCTCTAACAGGGCTTAAATGGCTAATTTTCAATATCAGCTTCCCTAAAGTACCTTTAATTTTTTTTATTTGCAACAATTGACCATTTCACATTCATCTCTAATATAAAATATAATTAAATATAAAATATGTAAGAATTTGATAATTAACTAAAGGAGAAATAAGAGATTGTAACGGAGAATAGTAGTAATTGAGGAACCAAAGGAATACGAGTGCAACCGAGCTCACCTGAAAGATTTGAACACGCTTCCAAATGTAACATGAGCCTAAGATCAGTGTAGATCAGCTTTAGGGTAGGGCAACCGGAGCAAATGCCCCGGAGTGCCGACCGATCTTCAGGGGTAGCTCACCACTTGTTCGAAATTAAAAAAAATGTACAAAAAGTATTAAAATAATTAATTTTAGCCTATCAATAAAGCAACTATATGAGAGAAATGTTAAATGAAATAAAATTCAAATATTACATAATATAAACAGCTTAAGAAATAAATTTAATTTTTTTAGGGGAGGGAGAAGATAACTTCATTGCCCGGGGGCACCAAATGCTTAAGGACGACACTGATTATTATAATAAGGATTCCGACAATATTATGTAAATATACATATATGGTTTACATAAATGCTATTGTTGTTATTATTTAATATTTAATTGTATAGATTACAGCAATATAAATATTAAAATTTGCATATATAAGGGTACTTATACAAATAAAAATATCCACAATGAAACATAAATCAATATAGCGTTTATAATTTTTACTTTCACTTCAACTTTGTTTCAAAATATTTATTTCTGCTAATAAGTGGGTGGTAAGTGAAAGTTGTGTGATACGTACACTGCATTTTTAAAAATCTGGTGTCTTCTACTTCAAGTAGAAATAGATATTTTCATATAAAGAGAAGTAAAAGTAAAAATTATAGAAGGTACAAAATATTCATTTAAGGATGGCATGTATTATTTTAGGCTGATAAGAGTGCAACAACAAAAAAATCTAATGCAGTGCTTGCATCACATCACACAACTTTTACATACCACCCTGATATATAAAAAATAAGAAAGTGAAACTAAAAAATTATAGATGGTATAACATATTATTTAAAATACATACACACATCCAAAAAAAAATTTAAAAAACACACCAATTTGTAAAACTTAAAAGTTATTTCAACTCAGGAAACCTCAAAAGTGTATTTCTGTTGAAAACTCAGATTTGTAAACTTTCATTATCGTGATGATTTCACTTACCTAAATATTATTAAGTGTTTTATTTTGTACACATTTTGCTTTGATTTTTTGCCATTTTTTTTAATCTTTATCCATAAAAATCATAAAAATTTCGTATTTCCCCTCAAGTCATTGAGAAGTGAACATATAGAAGATTTATAAACTATCACAAGCTACTATGGTTAACAACTGAGTTCTAGAGAATTAAGCCCTATTGTTGGTCTTACGCATCATAACAAACCGTCTTGTTATTTTAAGTATGATTTATTTACAATAGAATAGTATGGCTCATTGTCCGATATGCAGCAGGACCATCGCTCAAGATGAAAAAAAAAATGTATGTTATAGAGTTTGAGGCTCAAAAAAAAAAAAAAAGGGTCTAATTGCGACCAGCCTAAAAAGATTACAACAGGCAGTGAAAACCAGGGTCAAAGTCACACCACTGAGTCGTCACCGACTGAAATTCTGGAAGCAGTAAAAAGGCTTGATAATTATTTTAATGATGAAATTAAAAGTATTAAATTAGCTTTCAATAATTATAGAGACCTCATCTCATCGTTTTTAGTCATCATCCAAGCCTCTGAGCCATATGTCAAAACAGGCCGAACAAGGGTCTTGTATATGATCAGCTTGGTCTTCTTTGAGAGGTACCTACTTCTTAAGTGTCGGCCAAGTCCAAAGACACATCTATCGGCAGCCGTGATCCTTCTTTGTATTTCTTGAGCCATGTCATTTTTGCTATTAATTTCAGACCCAAGGTATATAAAACTTTTCACTCACTCAAACTTAAAAGAACGTACCTCAAATGGAGAGTTCAGATCTACCTCACCACCAACTCTCATATACTTAGTTTTCCTCTCGTTGACTTCTAGACCAAGTGGTCTTGCAGCTGCTTCAAGGCCTATAAATGCTTCTCTGAGAGCCCGTTCAGACCTACCTATTATGTCAATATCATCAGCAAAACCAAGAAGCTGCGTCAGGCGATTGAAGATTATATCATTGGTCTGAATACCAGAGTCTCTTACAGCTTTCTCCTCTGCCAAGTTGAACAATAGACAGGCGAGGGCATCCCCTTGCCTAACCCCACTGCTCACTTTAAACTCTTCGGAGTCGTCAGAACCGACGCGTATTCTACATCTCGAGCTGTCCATGGTCATCTTGATTAGGCGTACGAGCTTCTGAGGGATGCTTAGCTCCTCCAAGGCACAGTATAGTTGCGTTCTATCAACGCTGTCGTATGCTGCTTTAAAGTCTAGGAATAAATGGTGGGTGACTACCTTATGCTCCATAGTCTTTTCTAGGATCATCCTCAGAGAGAACAGTTGATCAGTGGTTCAACGTCCTCTTCGAGATCCAGCCTGATATTTCCCCAGTTCCTTTTCAGAATACAGGAGAATCCTCTCAAAAAGAATGTTAGAGAGCAGCTTATAAGCACACGAAAGGAGTGAGATTCCTCGATAGTTAGCGCATTCTGTTTGATCTCCTTTCTTATGTATTGGGCA